AGCAGTGTGTGTGAATAGCCAGAGGTTTCTTCAGTCTAGGAAGGCTGAAGGGGGAAACCTAAATAGTTTCTTTAGTCAGAGAGGACTAAGAGAAGCTTGTTTAGATCACTAGTCAGGGAAAGACTAGCGATCTGGGATTTGATCAAGAAGGATCAAATTAGAAGGCTCTTCACATTAGAAAACATTGTTTAATAAAGTGCTTCACCACAGTAAAAGTCAATCACAAGTTGTGTCATCGAGAAGAGTAAACTGTATTGCAAACCAAGTTACATTCCAAGTTCTATAAGTTATTCAAAGTTATTCCAAGTTAATTAACAGCCTGCAACCATACGCTTTGTACAAAATAAACTTATTAACTTTTGTTGAAGACCATGTCATCTCCATTAATCTGTGTCTGGGGAGCCAGTTGTCATCGGCAATACCTCATGTTGGTGGCAGTTACCTTAATTACATCCATAATCATCCACACCTGCATAATTGGTGGCGGAATTTAAGAACAGTCTATACAATTGGTGACAGCGGGTGGGTTCCTTAAAGTTAAAAACCCTATACCCTGTCTGTTGTTGGACTTGCAGCACCTTCGCAATTGGCACAATTGTACAACTGGTGCGTGCAGACTTCGCAAATTGGTGTCAGAGGTGGGATAGACTTCGCAAATTGGTGGCAGCCCTGTACAATTGGCTAGTGTCATCGCAGCAGGCTTGTTTTCTTCTTCTCTAGAAACTGGAGCACAGAGCAAAGCATTCAAACTGCACGAAAAGAAATTCCATCTAACGTTAGGAAGAGCTGTTCAATAGTGGAATATACTGCCTTGGAGTATGATGAAGTCTTCTTTTATGGAGATTTTCAAGCAAAGGCTGGGTGGCCATCTTCAGGGAGTGCTTTGGTTGTGCATGGCAGGATGGGTAGAATGGATGGTCCTTGGGGTCTCTTCTAATTCTATGGTTCTGTGACTACTGAATGCTGACACCGTTCATTTTAGGTAGTTTTGACATTGTAAACCATGCATTTTGCAGTGAAAGACAACAGTCAAGAGCCGCCAAAGAGATCTCTTTGGAAACATTACCTCCAGCTGTCATTTTTTCCTGGTGTGATACTATAGTGGGAGAAATGTCTTCATGGCTGCTGGCCAGGGATGTGAATAGCCGGATAATGCCAGAACTATCCCACCTGGAGAAGCCGGAGCCTCCCATCTGGCAGAGAGATGCTTGCCCCAGACCATGAAAATAAATCCTTCCCACGTGGATTTCTGATCGGGCATCATTTCTGAGTGTGAATGATCCGTTGCAATGCCGCCAGCTCAAATTCCTTCTGCATGGAAAACGTTAATAGTGGAATGGGGAATACCACAGGATACTGACTTGCAAGAGCAGGAATGTATGAAGGTTTTGAATCATGCTCTGAATTTGGCAGCCTGAGATTTCTTAGCATTTAAAAAAAAATTAAAACATGTTCCAGTCTTTTACAGAACAGGCATGAACATATGTTATCCAGAATCCAACGTACTATGAGCTGTGGCACAGCGCGTTAGTAGCCAGCTGCATTAAATCACTACTGACTGAGAGGTCAAAGCCAGCCCGGGTTGGAGAGAGCTCCCAACCAGTAATAGCCTAATGTATTGTCAAAGGCTTTCATGGCCGGAATCACTGGGTTGTTGTAGGTTTTTTCGGGCTATATGGCCATGGTCTAGAGGCATTCTCTCCTGACGTTTCACCTGCATCTATGGCAAGCATCCTCAGAGGTCGTGAGGTCTGTTGGAACTAGGAAAAAGGGTTTATATATCTGTGGAATGACCAGGGTGGGACAAAGGACTCTTGTCTGCTGGAGCTAGGTGTGAATGTTTCAACTGACCACCTTGATTAGCATTTGATGGCCTGGCAGTGCCTGGAGCAATCTTTTGTTGAGAGGTGATTAGATGTCCTTGTTTGTTTCCTCTCTGTTGTTCTGCTGTTCTAATTTTAGAGTTTTTTAATACTGGTAGCCAGATTTTGTTCATTTTCATGGTTTCCTCCTTTCTGTTGAAATTGTCCACATGCTTGTAATCACCTCTCAACAAAAGTTTGCTCCAGGCACTGTAAGGCCATTATATGCTAATCAAGGTGGTCAGTTGAAACATTCACACCTAGCTCCAGCAGACAAGAGTCCTTTGTCCCACCCTGGTCATTCCACAGATATATAAACCCCTTTTCCTAGTTCTAGCAGACCTCACTACCTCTGAGGATGCTTGCCATAGATGCAGGCGAAACGTCAGGAGAGAATGCCTCTAGACAATGATGATATAGCCTGAAAAAACCTACCACAACCCAGTAATAGTCTAGCTTGCTGTTGACCTATGCAGCCTGAAAGACAGTTGTATCTGTCAAGTAGAAAATTAGCCTCCCTGCTTTAAGCGGGGAGGCTAATTTAACTAATTTACGACACCATAAAACCTTCCAGCAGTGTGCATACAAATGAGGAAGTCCTCCATAAAGGACTCGATGGACAGTGAAGCGGTAGCTCCCTCTGTGGCCAGAATCGAGCATACCCTCATGAAGCCGGAAAGCTGGAATGTTTAATTGTCTCTGTGTCTGTCTATATATGTTGTATGTCTAATGGCATTGAATGTTTGCCATGTATATGTGCACTGTAATCCGCCCTGAGTCCCCTGCGGGGTGAGAAGGGTGAAATATAAATACTGTAAACCATAAATAAATAAACTTGTTTTGCATTTTAGTATCCAGCACATATTTATATCTGACCCTAGGGTTTACTGGAGGCCAAGCAGAGGTAGATCAAATAATGCAAAAGTAAATTAGACTGCTTTGCATAATTGATTTAAGATTGCTTTGTTTTATAGCCTTGTTACGCAGTTTGGATATTCCTTTCTTGGTTTTGGTTTCGCTTACAAATCGCTCTTTTCTGCTCCTCCAGGTTTTGTTAATATGGCAAATTTACTGGAGAGAGAATTCAATGGTTAGATTAGGCACTTTCTAACAACCTACCACTCATTTATTAGGAATGTTTACAGTAGTAATAAGCAGGGAGGAATGGAAGTGATGTCCTTTTCCATAAATGTAAATGGAATGAACCATGTTAGAGAACAAAAAAGGCCCACTTCTCCCAATTGTGTAAAGAAAATGAAGCTGAAGGAGTTATTTGATATTTGCAGGAGTTTGGAATGGGTAAAGTATACATTTAAATAAAAATTGCAAACACGGTTTCTTTGGTAATTGAGAGAACATTTCAATAGGAATTTCTAGGTCTTCCAGTATGTTTCTATGGTCCACTTCCAGCAGAGGTTGACCGTGGCATTGTGCTGAAGGGACCTAGAAGTAGAGTCAAAATACAGTGTCCCCTCATGTATCGTGGATGTTATGTTCCAGGACCACCCGTGAAAAGTGAAAATCAACAAATTAGGGACATTATCTCTCCCCCCCCCCCTATACTAGCCGTCCCCTGCCACGCGTTGCTGTGGCCCAGTCTGTGATCTGGAAAATAAAGTAATGAGAAAGTGTTGGTTTCTAATATCTGTAATGTCTTTATGCTTGTGGGTAAACAGTATTTCTTGCTGTTTCTTTGTCAGTGTTGATGTGGAGATTGTCTGGTTGGCCTTCTCTGGAACATGGAACATATCATTGTCCTTCTTTAGGAGTCCCTTTCAAATATATGATACAAAAAAAAATTAATACAAAGCTCTGACTGAAAGCAGTGGAAAACAGGCAGAAATAGCAAGTCTAAGTGTATTAAGATATGTAAATGATAATAATTTGTACTTAATTAACTGATTGTTTGAATAAGGTAGATAGGCATGTACACGTCAAAAATATTGGTACCTGATTTTATCTGCCATGTTTTGCTTTTCTGTTATGTACCATAATCAAAATAAACAGTTTTAACAAACAAAAAAAGAGACTGGGCAAAGGAGAGACGATGCAGAAGGTAGCCAACGACTATGGCGTCGGACAGGTAACAGTAGGAGACTGGAAAAGGAAGGGATCAGAGATAGAAAAATAGTATTCCACCAGAGTTTTGGTCCTAAATTTGTAAATAATTACTGCACAATATTACCGTGTATTGAACTGCTTTTTCTGTCCATGATGTTTGAGGTGCTTAATTTGTAAAATCGTAACATAATTTGACTTTTAATATGCTTTTCTATAATCCCTCCTTATTATCCAACATTTTCGTTTATCCAATGTTCATTTATGTTGTATAAGTGAGATTCTACTGTAGTTTAAGGAGTTAGAGTTCAAAAAAAGGAACTTTCCCAGTCTCTGTTCTGCCTGATTCTTTGATTGCTGGTCGGAAGGCTTTCTTGATAAGGTTCTTGTGGGTTTTTTTCGGGCTATAGGGCCATGTTCTAGAGGCATTTCTCCTGACTTTTCGCCTGCATCTATGGCAAGCATCCTCAGAGGTAGTGAGGTCTGTTGGAATTAGGACAAAGGGTTTATATATCTGTGGAATGGCTGGGGTGGGGCAAGGAGCTCTTCCTTGCTAGAGCTAGGTGTGAATGTTTCAACCTTCATTAGCATTTGAAGGCCTGGCTGAGCCTGGGAAAATCTCCTGTTGAGAGGTGTTAAGCTGTGCCTGGTTGTTTCCTCTCTGCTTCATTAGCATTTGAGGGCCTGCCTGAGCCTGGGAAAATCTCCTGTTGAGAGGTGTTACGTTGTGCCTGGTTGTTTCCTCTCTGCTTCATTAGCATTTGAGGGCCTGCCTGAGCCTGGGAAAATCTCCTGTTGAGAGGTGTTAAGCTGTGCCTGGTTGTTTCCTCTCTGCTGTTTTTGCTGTTGTAATTTTAGAGTTTTTTAATACTGGTAGCCAGATTTTGTTCATTTTCATGGTCTCTTCCTTTCTGTTGAAATTGTCCACATGCTTGTGGATTTCAATGGCTTCTCTGTGTAGTCTGACATGGTGGTTGTTGGTGTGGTCCAGCATTTCTGTGTTCTTTTTTCTTGATAGTTCATTCAACCCAATTGTAATACGGGATTCTGTTTTGCCTTCCCCGTTCCTCTTGATTCCAGGTTGTAGCTCCCGCTGTGGAAGATGTCCAACAACGGGCTCGAAGCGGAAGACAAGCCGCCGGCTCCTCCGATGAGGAACACCAGCACCATGATCGGCACCGGCGGCAAAGACGTGGGAACCTTGAATCACGGCTCTAAACCGTTGCCTCCCAATCCGGAAGAAAAGAAAAAGAGGGACCGCTTTTATCGCTCCATCCTTCCAGGAGACAAAAGTACTATTTTAACTATTTTAATGTCTGGTTTTAATTTTCCTCTCCTTTTGGAGAGTGCTTCCAAACAATGGCAGCTCACTTCCCAGTCATGGTGGCACTGAATCTATTCTGGGGTTTGGAGATGTTCCAAAAATAGGTCCTTTGCCTTATTATTTATTTATCGTGTCATCAGCTACCAGACATTTGTATAACATTTTTAACAAAAACAAACAAACAGACAAAATTTGGTAATTGATTAAATGTCCTTTGACCAGTATGTGGCCACTTGGAGTGCCTCTGGTGTTGCCGCAAGAAGGTCCTCCATTGTGCATATAGCAGGGCTCAGGGTGCATTGCAGCAGGTGGTCTGTAGTTTGCTCTCCTCCACACTCGCATGTCATGGATTCCACTTTGTAGCCCCATTTCTTAAGATTGTCTCTGCATCTTGTGGTGCCAGAGCGCAGTCTGTTCAGCGCCTTCCAAGTCGCCCAGTCTTCTGTGTGCCCAGGGGGGAGTCTCTCATTTGGTATCAGCCATTGATTGAGGTTCTGGGTTTGAGCCTGCCACTTTTGGACTTTCGCTTGCTGAGGTGTTCCAGGGAGTGTCTCTGTAGATCTTAGAAAGTCATTGATGTGCTGGCTGATACCCAAACAAGGGATGGGCTGGAGATGTCACTGCCTTGGTCCTTTCACTATTTGGCTTATGAATACCATAGGGACACCTGTTCAACCCCACAACTATTGTCTTGTGGGGTTCCTCAAGTTTCAATACTGTCCCCCATGTTGTTTAACATCTACATGAAGCTGCTGGGGGAGGTCATCCGGAGTTTCAGGGTGCAGTGTCACCTGTACGCAGATGACGTCCAACTCTGTCACTTCTTCCCATCTGCTACTAAAGAGGCTGTTCAGGTCCTGAACCGTTGCTTGGATGCTGTGACATTTTGGATGAGGGTGAACAAATTGAAACTAAATCCAGACAAGACAGAGGTACTCCTGGTCAGTCACAAGGCCAAACAGGGTATAGGACTGGGTTACACTCCCCCTGAAGGACTGGGTTACACTCCCCCTGTAACCCAGTCTAACACACTGTGTTAGACGGGGTTACACTCCCCCTGAAGATGCAGGTTCGCAGGTTGGGAGTGATCCTGGATTCATCGCTGAGCCTGGAACCCCAGGTCTTGGCGGTGACCAGGGGAGCATTTGCAGTTATTTATTTAGAGTTTTTATACCCCGGTCTTCTCAACCTCCGAGGAGGGACTCAGGGCGGCTAACAACATAAGATTCCATACAATTTGATAAGATTCCATACAATAAGAAAAACATTATAAATATCGATATAAAAACATTAAAATACAATTCATACAATTCATACAAATTACAGCAAAAATCAGTTCGTCCAAAAGAATCACAAATTCATCGCCATCCGCCAGAAAGGTCAGCAGTTATTGACTCAGTCATCATTCTGCAAATGCAGTATCCCAAAGCCATGTTTTTACCAGCTTTCTAAACGTCAGGAGGGAAGAAGCAGATCTAATCTCCATCGGGAGGGAGTTCCAAAGCCGAGGGGCCACCACCAAAAAAGCCCTGTCCCTCGTACCCACCAAACGCGATTGCGAAGGCGGTGGGACCGAGAGCAGGGCCCCTCCAGAAGATCTTAACAACCTTGATGGTTCATAGGGGAGAATCCGTTCAGACAGGTAAATAGGGCCAGAGCCATTTAGGGATTTATAGGTCAACACCAGCACTTTGAATTGTGCTCGGAAGCTGATTGGCAGCCAGTGGAGCTGGCGCAACAGAGGAGTAGTATGCTCCCTGTACCCCGCTCCTGTTAGTAATCTGGCTGCCACTCGTTGTACTAGTTGTAGCTTCCGGGCAGTCTTCAGAGGCAACCCCACGTAGAGAGCGTTGCAGTAATCTATACGGGATGTAACCAGAGCATGTACCACCGTGGCCAAGTCAGACTTTGGCCACGGTAGTCCACGCTCTGGTTACATCCCATATAGACTACTGCAACGCTCTCTACATGGGGTTGCCTTTGAAGTCTACTCGGAAGCTTCAAATGGTCCAACGCTCGGCAGCCAAGATACTGATAGGAGCTGCACTCAGGGAGCATACAATTCCCATGTTGCGCCAGCTCCACTGGCTGCCAGTTTGCTACCGGGCCCAATTCAAAGTGCTGGCTTTAGCCTATAAAGCCCTAACGGTTCTGGCCCAACTTACCTGTCCGAACGTATCCTCCTTATGAACCATATGGGACTCTTAAGATTGTCTGGGGAGGCCCTGCCCTCGGTCCCGCCTTCTTTGCAGATGCGTTTGGCAGGGACGAATGACAGGGCCTTCTCAGTGGTGGCCCCTCGGCTGTGGAACGCCCTTCCTAGGGATATTAGATCGGCCCCCTCCCTCCTAACATTTCGTAAAAAAGTTAAAACCTGGCTTTTTGAGCAAGCATTTGCAAATCATAGAATCAAAGAGTTGGAAGAGATCTCATGGGCCATCCAGTCCAAGCCCCTGTCAAGAAGCAGGAATATTGCATTCAAATCACCCCTGACAGATGGCCATCCAGCCTGTTTAAAAGCTTCCAAAGAAGGAGCCTCCACCACACTCCGGGGCAGAGAGTTCCACTGTTGAATGGCTCTCACAGTCAGGAAGTTCTTCCTCATGTTCAGATGGAATCTCCTCTCTTGTAGTTTGAAGCCATTGTTCCATTGCGTCCTAGTCTCCAGGGAAGCAGAAAACAAGCTTGCTCCCTGTGGCTTCCTCTCACATATTTATATGTGGCTATCATATCTCCTCTCAGCCTTCTCTTCTTCAGGCTAAACATGCCCAGCTCTTTAAGCCACTCCTCATAGGGCTTTTTTCTCCAGACCCTTGATCATTTTAGTCGACCTCCTCTGGATACATTACAGTTTGTCAATATCTCTCTTGAATTGTGGTGCCCAGAATTGGACACAATATTCCAGGTGTGGTCTAACCAAAGTGGAATAGAGCATGGGGAGCATGACTTCCCTAGATCTAGACACTCGGCTCCTATTAATGCAGGCCAAAATCCCATTGGCTTTTTTTGCCACATCACATTGTTGGCTCATGTTTAACTTGTTGTCCCTGAGGACTCCAAAATCTTTTTCACACGTGCTGCTCTCGAGTGAGGCAGTGTAACAGGCAAATACAGATCTATGGAACAATTGAATGACATGAATTGGAAAATGATATTAGTAAGGAGACACTGAGGATTTTTATCGGTTTTGTATGGTTTTTATATTATTTGCAAAATGTTTTAAAATTGTATTTTATGTTGTTGGGGACCTTGAATTGTGCCGATTGGAAACCGCCTTGAGTCACTTCAGGCTGAGAAAGGCGGTATATAAATACGGTAAATAAATACATAATAAATAGAGCAGGCTGTGGGCAAACTTTGTCCCTTCAGGTGCTTTGGACCTGCTTATTTTCCAACGTTATTGTTATCTGGGTTGTTTCGGGCTATATGGCCATGTTCTAGAGGCATTTCTCCTGACGTTTCGCCTGCATCTATGGAAAGCATCCTCAGAGATAGTGAGGTCTGTTGGAATATAAACCCTTTTTCCTAGTTCCAACAGACCTCACTACCTCTGAGGAGGCTTGCCATAGATGCAGGCAAAACGTCAGGAGAGAATGCCTCTAGACCATGGCCATATAGCCCGAAAAAAACCTACAACAACCCAGTGATTCCGGCCATGAAAGCCTTCGACAATACATTATTGTTATCTTTTGGAATACTTAAGTATTAAGGAATCCATATGAACTTGCAAGAGTGTTAAGATCTTTTGGGGATGATCCCCCCCCAAATCAAGGGGCTAATGTCACTCTTTCCAAGTGAGAAGAGTGGGTTGGAGCAGACGGAGGGCCTTGTTGCTGGACTGCAGCTCCCATCATCCCCTGTCAACATTTACAATGGTCCTGGATGGTGGGAAATGAAGTCCAAAAGCATCTACATGGAAATGATTCCCCATTCCTGGTCCAATCTGAGTAAAAGTCTGCATTTAAGTAAATACATATGTTAGCATATTTAAATGATGGGATTGTCTCCTACTAATATATAGGCAGTACTGCAAAAGTTTCAATAATTCGCTGGCTCTTTTTTGTGGCACTTGGAGAAATCCTGCCTGAAATGTCTGTGAATCAAATCAAAAGAGATTAAATAGTAAAATATGGTTCAACAGGCCTTTAAAAGTCTAATTCTCGTAATCTTATGCTGCATGCTGCGGTGTATGGTATTTCAGCAGCAAAAAGCGATTATAATGGTTAATATTTTAATGCATTCAGGCTCAGACCTCCAAAGCCGTTCTGGATTTGGTCAAAGGAAACCATCTGCTCTTCGTATACTATTATAATCCTGTGTGTGTAAGAACTTAAGTGCCAGTTTATTTAACAGGGCTGGAAGGTAATTAATTTAGTTCTTAATTCCTGTGTTTGTGTGCTTTTAAGCAGCTTATTGGACATAGAAAGAGACCTCAGGCCTTAGGGCTCTTCGAAGTTTTGTGGATTCACGCAACTGAAAATATATAAATTATTGAAATATTGCAAATTCCTAATTATCCAGGGTTTACTTTTGTTTTGGTTCTTCTGATGTGTCTTCAAGTTCCCAGTGACCTTCAAGGGTTTTCTTTTAAAATATATATTCCCAATATATTTATAATTTCCTTCTTCTGAGGCTGAGAGAGTGGGGCTTACCCAAGGTACCCAATTGGGTTTCGGTGGCCAATCAGGGATTCAAAAATAGGTCATTTCTGTGGCGTAATGTATAATTAACTATGTAGTTCATGTTTGTTCAGCCCACACACTGCCTTGCCAGAGAAAGAAAATATGCCACACAGGTGAACAATAAAGAATGGGTAGTTTACTCTTCGTAGTTTGGAACAACTTGTACAGTAGGTTGTTGTAGGTTTTTTCGGGCTATATGGCAATGGTCTAGAGGCATTCTCTCCTGACGTTTCGCCTGCATCTATGGCAAGCATCCTCAGAGGTAGTGAGGTCTGTTGGAACTAGG